ATCGACGGGAAAGATCGCCCCAAATTTGTTGTTGTCGTACGTTTTGCTTTCGATTTGCTCCGCTGGCAATGATTTGTGGTGCGATTCAAAATTTTTGACCGGGATAAATTCACGGTGTTGGGTGGGCGCGTCGGGCCGTGAGCGTCTCAATTCCGTTGGCGCCCCTTCCCTCTCCCCTGAACGGGTGTCGTTTTTTTGGTCTCCATTGTTCTTTTTGCGAAGTGGCAGGGCAAGTAAAGTGGCAATCGCCTATGCGGCCACAGCTGAAACGGCGCGCTTTGCTTGGGGGTGGTGGTGCCGAACGTTCCTTCTGCCGCTTCATGGTGGCCCGTATGAAAGGGTTATCCCGTTTTTTTTTTTTTTTTGGCTCAATGATGTCCTCTCGAATGTGCCGCATCTTCGCCCCGGGAAACCCCTAACTGTCCATATTAACTAAAGTTCTGTGCAAAGCCATCGCCCCATTTGAATCTGTTTTGACGGCGCTCCTTCATTGCGAATGGCGCGTGTCAACTGCAGAAAATCATTCCATTCCTCTTTATATTCTGGGCAAGGGTTCGCTGGCATGGGAAAAAATTTTCCCGCGTGCGGTCGTCGAATGGTTCGGCGATATCTCCTTCAAATGGCCCGCAATTCCTTCAATAAATACGGATTCGCTCTTCTGGCCAAACCCACCTTTCCCGAGCCGGCAGTTGGAGTTCTTGTGTCCCACTGGAATCCCAATTTTTTGGGAATTTCTAGTACGCCATTGGCGCCTCGTCCTCTTTGCCATGGGTTTTGTGATAAACCAATGGCTTTTGTAGGGGTGTTTTGGTTATTCCAACATTTCTGTTCTGCTCCATTTGTTTTGGGGCGCTCCTGCTCCATTTGTTGTAATAATTCCAACGCCTGAATCTCTCTTTTCCCCCTCAAAACAAAGTAGAAAATCCGTTTTCCACGGCGAAGTGAGGCCAACCAAAGGCAGGAGGCGAAGGGTATCCCGAGTAATGGATCTATTTGGGGCCCATTTTTACCACAAGCGTGCCGTTTTCTACGGCAATTAAATCTTCCGCGTGGTAACTTAAAAGCTGTGTTTCCACCTGATGAAATGCTACTAAAAATGCCTTGGGGCTATTATGGCGAACGAAGTCTTTGATTGGCGAGAATGCTGATGATACGCTTTGGCCTTTTGGTGGAAAAGGAAGGTTTTTTCTTTGGGAGTAAGACCAGGGTATTCTCTTTGTTTTTTCTTTTTTTTTTCTGACGGTTTCATAAAAAGTTTATTTATCTATTTTTTTCTTTTACCCATATCCCATAAAATATGGGAGATCACAATCCGATATGGTATAACGGTTAGAACACCTGGCTTTCACCCAGGAGATCCGGGTTCGATTCCCGGTATCGGAGCCCTTTTCATTACCTTACAAAAAGAAAACAATTTCACATTCTTTTCGTTTATCACTCTTTAGAAATATTAAATTTTATTATTTAATATTTTTATAATCTCATCTCTTTTAGGTTCTCGCCGTTGTCCGTGTGGCTCAATGGAAGAGCATCTGACTACGGATCAGAGGGTTGCAGGTTCGAGTCCTGTCACGGATGTTTTCTGAAAAAGTCTTCCTTTTTTTCTTTTTGCTTCCTTACCTTTCTTCGTGGAAGAAGTATAGGGCAAAAAAAAATATATATATATCAAACGATGGTTTTAATGTTGGCTTTCGTGCCTTTTAAACATCTCTGGAGGTTGTTTCGCCGCAAAAAAAGGGACAAAATCCCAAATCAATTCCAAGATTGGGCCGGATTTTGGAACGTCCGCCACGTGAAACGTTTTTTTTTGTTTTTTGGGGGGACCCGCAGGGGCCTGACCGCCACCCACGGGGTTGTCGGGTTTTTTCTCTAGCAAGAAGAAAGCGAAAAAGCCTCAGAAGAGGGTGAAAAACAACTTTGTCTCGTTTTGGAGCCGCCCAGGCAAGAAACACAGCCGAAAGAAAGCAAAGCAAACCAACACAAACGGAGAGGGGCCGGAAGGAAGAAAGAAAAGCGGTGACGCGAAAGCTGCGCCGCCGATGAAAGAGAACTATTTCATTATTGCTGGTATTGTGTTTCTTTCTCTTGACGCGGTTTCGTTGCCGGGGTAGAATGGGACGTCCCATGCTGTATTGTTGATTCTCTGGCGTTTTTTGTGCGCGTGCGGTCCATGCAATTCGGGACCGATGCGCGGAAAGACCGCCATTTGTAGAACTTCGGGGTAGGAAGCGGAGAGGCCCTCGGGTCAAAGAGGGTCTTGGCCTTTCTTCGGCGTTCGCCCGGGTGAGGAACGCGGTTAAAAGAAAACAAAGCAAACCAACACAAACGGAGAGGGGCCGGAAGGAAGAAAGAAAAGCGGTTACACGAAAGCGGCGCCGCCGATGAAAGGCAACTGTTTTATTATTGCTGGTGTTGTGTTTCTTTCTCTTGACGCGGTTTCGTTGCCGGGGTAGAATGGGACGTCCCATGCTGTATTGTTGATTCTCTGGCGTTTTTTGTGCGCGTGCGGTCCATGCAATTCGGGACCGATGCGCGGAAAGACCGCCATTTATAGAACTTCGGGGTGGGAAGCGGAGAGGCCCGCGGGTCAAAGAGGGTCTTGGCCTTTCTTCGGCGTTCGCCTGGGTGAGGAAACGCGGCCGAAAGAAAGCAAAGCAAACAAACACAAACGGAGAGGGGCCGGAAGGAAGAAAGAAAAGCGGTTACACGAAAGCGGCGCCGCCGATGAAAGGCAACTGTTTTATTATTGCTGGTGTTGTGTTTCTTTCTCTTGACGCGGTTTCGTTGCCGGGGTAGAATGGGACGTCCCATGCTGTATTGTTGATTCTCTGGCGTTTTTTGTGCGCGTGCGGTCCATGCAATTCGGGACCGATGCGCGGAAAGACCGCCATTTGTAGAACTTCGGGGTGGGAAGCGGAGAGGCCCTCGGGTCAAAGAGGGTCTTGGCCTTTCTTCGGCGTTCGCCCGGGTGAGGAACGCGGTTAAAAGAGAGTAAAACGAACAGAAAATAACTGTGTTGCTAAATAAAATAATAAAAAAATAAAAAGAAGAAAAGGGTAACTGCAACATGCAGGGCTGTTGCTGTAGAAGGCAAGAAAATAGGTACATTTTCTCATTGCGTGTGTTGCAGTTTAAGATAGAAAACAATAAACCACACAAAGTAATAATAGTACACCAAAAAAATGTTTTGAGATGGACATGTCATGATTGACAAGATCTGCAGCGCACAGGCGCTGAAGAGGAAAAAAATAAAATAAAACAATAAAGTCATTACAAGAAATAGCAGATTATTTGTTCAAAGTGAAAAATGAAGGAAAACTATCCTATCCACTCTTACGTCTTTCCGATAAGTGCTTCTCCCAGAAGTTTCCCCACCTGCACCCGGAGATTATGCTTCCACTCTGCCTCGGCTACGCTACAGTTATTTGAGTTGCCATTGTAAAGTCTGACAGAGACCCGTCTCACAATACCACTCATCTGCGCAGCTGAGAGAGCACCGCTGTTGTAGGCGGGTTGCAACAACTGGCGAAGGTATTCCACTACTGCTCCTCGATCCATCCCTGCTCTATCTTTGCTCGCACTTCGTTTTTTTCCTTCAAGGCGTTGCTGTTGTTCTTGTTGTTGTTGTTGTCTCGTAAAAGAAGCTGTTCTTTTCGTTGGCAGCACTATTTCTACGCCACGACCGGGGTTCGCAACCCTGGGGGAATGCAGACGATAGGTCCCCCTTTGCAATATTTCATAAGAAGCTGATCTAGTTGTGGAACGTGTCTTTTGTGGAGTTGACGTTCGATGACGAAGAAATACGGTTTCCTGTGACTGACGTCGCGCTGGAGATTGGACAAGGTCAAATTCACCCCTTTTCTCAACCAAAGGAACAAAAGACACCATACGCTGTGGAGTCGATATTGGAGTTTCATTCTGATTTATTAGAATTGTGGATCTTTTTTTCTTTTTTTTTTCATCTTCTTCCACAGGCATTTCCTTATTATGGCTAATACTACTACTACTATTGTTACCACCATGACGCATTATTTGAGGAATTGGAGTCGTCTCATTTGAAGGGTTCTCACGGCGAAGGAACCGGTTTATGTACAAAGACTTGGCCCCTGTAGTGTGTCCAACTGTCATTTTCTTTCCATCTAATATTTCAGTATGCTGTATAAAAGACTTTCTACTATCATTTCCTATAGAGTTATCATCATTATCGTTATCCTTACCATCTTCATTATTGTCATTGATAGCATTATATGGACTAATCGATGTGAACTGCGTTTTTGGTGGAGGGGTGGTAGGTGGTGGTGGTGACGTCAAAAGTTCCCGAGAATCTTTTCTCACTAAAGAAATGTGACTAAAGAGTCCCCAAATAAGGGACTGTTGTAATTGCAGTAAAAGTGATATGAAAGCATGTTCCTCACTACGAAGAAGTTCCTGTCGTTCCAGAGCCCACTGCTGCATAAAATCCCGCCGATCAAGAGTAGTGTTCACAACATCCAACACAGATGAGATAGGTTTGATAACAGAGATAGGAGTTAGAGCGCCTACGAAAGAACTACTATCATTAGTATCAGAGACTTTTGGGTTATTTTTAAGAGGAGATGGATTTCGCTTTGGGAGGTGAAGTGGTGTTTCTTTTTCATTAGGATCCATAGATTCTATTCGCTCACGAAGCTGACGCAGGAGACTAAAGAGTGTGGCATCCTCATTCTCTACCCACTGCTGCTCCTTCCCTTCATTTCCTCCTTCGTTTTTCCCCTTGTAGTTTTTTTCTTCTTGTTTTTCTTGTTCTTCTTGTTGTTTGGAAGAAGTGGGGAGATTCGATAAAAGACCATCCACAACAAGATGAGGATGATCACCAGATGAAAGAAGAACATCATCCTTAATATGAAGAACCGGAGATGGCGTTACTCTTACCATCTTCCTCTTTACTGTTCCCTTCATTACCCCAGAGTGTAGTACCTCTGCAGGGTTTAAATGAAGTGGAATCATACTCTTTCTTCTGTATTGATGAGAGACGGCAAGGGGTGTTGGGATGGTATTATTATTATTATTATTATTATTATTATTATTATTATTATTATTATTATTATACCCAACACCGGTAGTGGTGCTAATGGTTTGCTGCGGTAAAATGAACGGCCATGAGGAGGAGCAACACAACGACGATGAAGAAGAAGATGATGATGAAGATGATCGTGATGATGGGATTAGTTGCCTCATAAGAGAAGTTGGAGATAATGGATGTATTCTTATAGAACTCTTCTTATTATTCACCCCTTCTTCTTCTTGTTGTTGTTGTTTTTTCTGCTGAAGAGTGGTTTCCATACAAAGAGGGTGAATCTTCTCATCGTTGCCATTAGAATGGTTACCGTTTTCATGGGGAATACTTTCATCATTTCTGTAGAGAAAGGGATGAGACTTGTTCTTTTCCTTTTCCTCCTTTTCCTTTTTTTCCTTTTGTTCCTGTTGTTGTGGTAGTAGATGGATTAATTGTAGTTGTACCACCTGAGTAATAAAGGCTTTGGAGTAACGCCGTACACCGAGATTGGCTGCACTCATTACAAATAATAATGTCTGCTTAGCCACAAACACAAAATATTCAACCGTAAGAGAGCCATTATTATACAAAGGCTGTAAAAGGGATTTAATATATTGAAGTACCTCATCACGGGTATACAGAAAGACACCGCATTCCTCATTCATTAATGCTGTGAAGTGAGAGGTTAATATACTCATATGATTGTCTACTCTATTCTATTATCCTTTCTAGACTTTCTTAAATTATATATATATATATATATATATATATATATATATAATTAATTATTACTTCTTTACAATATCAGAGTATTCAAAATGGTATGCAAGAACCACAGCAGCTCTTGCTGCGGAATCAAAGAGAAAAAAAAACTACAGCTGACGCCTATTCCTTTTTGTACGTGTGAACTAGATAAAAAAAAAACGATACAGTGTGTGTGTGTGTGTGTGTATGAAGACAACAGAAACGAGAAATGAACGGAGGGAAGTAGAGAAGAAAAAAAAAAGAGAGTTGTGTGTGTGTGTGTGTGTATGAAGACAACAGAAACGAGAAATGAACGGAGGGAAGTAGAGAAGAAAAAAAAAAGAGAGTGCAATTAGACGAGTAATAGTCAAACAAACAAACAAAAAAATTATTACAATCATAAATGAGAAAGAAGGTCAAAGAGACACATATAACTCTAAAAACAACAACAACAACAAAGGGTGAATGAAAAAAAAAGAAAAAGAGAAGAAAGACTGAAGCAGATATATATATATATATATATATATATATATTTAAAGAAAAACGCACACAATTGTGTCTTCAATGGAGGTTCCGGCAAAAATGAAAGAAAAAAAACAGAAATAAACAAAAAAAAAAGGGAGAATTGATGAAAACAATATAACACCATACTGTAGCAACAACAATAAGAATAAACAACATCATTTCGCGAACAGAAGGAAGTAAACAGAAAAACACAAAATCATCATCATCAACAAACAAACAACAACAACAATGACAAATAGTCCATCCAATAAAATCGTTCATCCATTACATATAAAGTGAGAATGGAGAAAATAATAAAAAAAAAGAGAGAAAAAACAAACAAAGAAAGAAAGCATATTTACCTTTTATTTTCCTCTGTGGATAAGCAAATTATACATCACACCCTATATATATATATATATCCCACATACGTATCTCTCTTTTCCTCATACTCACAGAAGCAAAGAGTAATAAACAAAGATAAAAAGTAATCTATTTTTTTTTTCCTTTTTTACTCTTTTTTCGATTTTTTTTTCTCTCTTTCTCTCTCCCATTTTTTTTTTAAATCTATTTCACCTTTCATTTTTTCTTTTCTTTTCTTTTCTGCTTCGCTTCTAGATAAATATAATTTAAATATAAAGAATATTCAACTATTTTTCTTCTTCTTCTTTTTCTTCTTCTTTCGTTCATTCGCATAGCTTACATCTATCAAGAGATTTAATAAAGCAATATAAAAAAAAAAAATTAACAATAGCGATCGTCGCCAATCATCATAGTAGTAGTTACTTACATCAACTACTACAAGAGAAAATAGCAACCAAAGACATCTTACCTTTTTTTTTTTCTTTCCTTCTCCTTCTATCTATTCACCTAATTTCTCTTCCTTCCTTCCTTCCTTCCTTCATTTTCCTCTTCACACACACACTCACACATGCATATATATATATATATATATATATATATACGCAGATATTCTCTTCTCTTCTCTTTACTGCACTGGTGGGTGTTCCATTCCAGACGCCACTGCTGCTGATGCCGTCTGCGTCATGAAGCGATCGTAAAAGTCATCTTCTTCATCCGAATCGCCGCTGCCAATTGTCCCGTCAACATCATCCACCGCCGCTGCCGCCGCCGCCGATTGTTTATCCCCGAGTTTCGTCATTATATAAATATGATAATGCCCCGTTGGCTTCGCGGTGCTGCTGAACATTGGCTTTTCCACTGTACGATGCTCCACATCAAAGAAGAGTTTACGCCGACGGAAGTGATCTAAACGGGTTTCCGGGGATCCATATGAAATGGAAAGAAAACGACCACCTTTCTTTAACAAACGAGATAAATTCTTTGTAAGGGTGTAAAGATTATGGAAGGAGTTATGTCCACCAAGGGTAGCATCCACCAATCCCTTTTCAATAATAAAATCATACAAATAATCATTTGGACATAATAAAGGTAATAATTTCTCTGGTGGGGTTTGAAGAAGATCACAGGCAACCCACAACATCTCATCCATACCTTTATATCTTCTTTGCATTTGAGCAATTACGGTAGGAGAAACATCCACATTTGTAATTTTACGAATTCCCAATTGTTCATATAAACTCGCAGAGAGTCTACTGTTTCCACAGCCAACCACCAATACTCGGATTTGTTCTGCGGGTTGTAGTAATGGGCGAAGAATGGGTTCAAGTGTGTCGAAGGTCACATACCAATCAAAGGTGGTATCATTACTGCGGTAACGCTCCTCCCAGTATTCCGGGTCCGCGTACTTGGACATAATAATAATAATAATAATAATAATATATATATATATATATATATATATAATATTAAATAAATAAATATATAAATAAATATATCTATATATATATATTTATATATATTTATATGTCTCTCACTGTGTTTGTGTTTGTGTGTGTATATTGGGTGGGGGTGAGATGAGTGGTGACTAATAAATAAAAAGAAAAAGAAAATAGAAGAAAAAGAAAAAGAAAGAGTATTATTTGTCCTATATACGTATATATATATATAGGAAGGAGAGAAACAAAGAGAAAAAGATCTATAGGGATGTAAAAAATAAACAAAAAAAAATAAACTTGAAATGATAAGTGTTGATTGGTATCTGTTTACGTTTTTTTTTTTTTTTTATTCTCAATTACTTTTCTTGTTTTTTTATTTTCTTTCTGCTTGCATTGTTAGTGCGCTTCTTGTTGATATATCCCCAATTCCTAAATCTGATGGTTGTACGTGGCCTTTACTTTATACCTCTCTCTGTATATATATATATATATATATATAAGGATCGTAATAGTATTAACCTCTATCCTCCCCTATTCGTTTTCACCCTCTATTCCTGCTATTCTTCGTACAAAGTATCCTAGTCATCATGCGAGGAAATAGCAAATAAATAAATAAATAAATAATAGAAATAATTATAAAGGGCAGCCGTACATATGAAAATGGAGATCACAATCCACAAGAACAACAAGAACAAGAAAAAGAGAAAAAGAGAAAAGTATGTTATCTCATCTATAGCAATCATATATTCAATAATAATAATAATATCTGTAGAATATATATATATATAGAAGGAACACACTCTGCAGTGTAGAAGAGAGAGAGAGAACAGAAAAAAAAAAAAACAAAACAAAAACAAATGAGTCTGCAAAAAACAGTAAAGAAGAAAAGAAAAAACAAACAAACAATCTTCACAGATGATGCTATTATTATTGTTATTATATATATTATTATTTTTTTCTAACGCTTCTGTCGGCAGTTAGTTTTAATAACGGAAGTCGAGAAAGTTAACAAAACACTAAACACGACATCAATTAAATAATAATAATAATAATAATAATTGTAAATATTTCTTTTTTTTTTTCTTTCTTCTAACAGTTTGCAAGAACAATCCACCGTTTGTGCGGACTCAAATGAGATCTATGAGTTCAATTATAATTAAAAAAAGAAAAAAAAACAAACAAACAAGTTTTCCCTCTGGTTCTATTATTATTATTATTATTTTCAGTTCGTGTTGAAAACACACAGAGAGAGAGAGAGAGAGAGAAATCAGCTTTTCCCTTTTTTTTTCATAGCGATCGGGCTTCCAGTCATCTGTTCAATATTTTGCACACCTCATCTAAGGAGAGTCATCCATTTTTAAACAAATATATATATATATATATTTATATAGACAGAAGCACTGTTCTCTGATAAACACAAACGAAAAGAAGAAGAACAAACAAAATAAAAAAAAAGGAAACATATATATATATGAATCACAATACAGGAGAAGGAGAAGGAAAAGAAGAAAAAAACAAAACAAAACAGTACAGGAATGTGAACAGAAGTAAAAAAAAAACATAACACTGAGCAAAGAACAACACCAATAGAAAAAGAAAAAAAAGAAAAGGACAGATAAACAAAAGAGTCGTTCTGTTCCTTATTTTTTTATTATTTATTGAATCACACACACAGAGTGAGAGAGAGAGATTAAAAACAAAAAATTCTCTCATATCTTTCACCCATACAAAAATAACAACCACCACCATCACCACAATATCTATAGTCAAAAAATGAATAACCAAAAAAAAACCCCTAACGAAACAAAGTACAGGAATAAACAAAAAAAAAAAAAACACACACACAATCATAATGTTGATAAACAATAAAAGAAAAATAAAAAGTACTAGATGCAATTAGTAGTATATATATATATAACCTCCCCCACATTACACTATTTACACCTTCAGGAGAACTCCATCCGCGGCTGCGAGAAGACCCAACTCCACATCTCCACTTGAGGATGGTTGCTGGGCAAACACAAGTTGTTTAGATGCAAGTGCCAACACATTCGCAAATGTACGGGCCGCCTCACGACGATGCATTCCACGACAGACTTCCTGCAATAAACAACGTTCACGAGGGGCGGATTCCTTTTTCGAACGTTTATTTGGCGGCTGTTGTTGTTGTTGTGAAGGAGTTACCAATACTTCACGGATACGCTTTAAAGTAGTTATCGCAGCAGCGGAGAGTCCACCATTTCTACTCTGATTCCCGTTATTATTATTATTATTATTATTCTCATCATCCTCATCATCCTCGTTACTCTTATCGAGTGCACGTTTACGGTTCTGAAGAGCATTGTTGTTACCATTGAATTCCCCATTTTCATCTTCATTAGCACGTGCGAGAAATGCCTCTTCTTCTTCCATACCACCAGCAGGAATCTGCTGAAATGGATCTTCCTGCTGTTGTTGTTGTTGTTGTGGATGATGATAGAGTGGTAGAATAGAAGCCTCTGCCTGTTCCAGTGCGGGTAATAAAAGAGATGAGTAAAGTGTACGCAGTGCGGGGTTTGGCATCCACGCCAATGGGGCGGCATTCACAACGGCCCACAAATCCCCTTTATTGGACTCCGCCGATAAAAGTGTACGATCACGGACTTCTTGTACATCATATGGTCCACGACGAGGAATGGCTTCCACAATATCACTGCGATCATCCATCCATTTCTGTACCGTCTCTGCAGATACGGTTGTGGCGGCCAAATCCAATATATTTGTTGGACGAGCTTTACGTAATGTTGTGGATTGTTGTTGTTTTTCTTTTTCTTCATCTTCTTCTTCTTCTTCTTGTAAATGAGGAATGGCTAATGGGTCCTCACCGCCGGGTGCGGGCATCATAAAGTCTGGCAGCATTGTAGGATCATCTGGTAGCGGCACCCCAATATCCAATTCCTCCGCTGGAAGGGGAAATCCTGCGAGATCACCCAACACAGCAGCTCCTGCAGTTAAACCACTACTACGGGCCTTTTCAATACTTGGAATACTGGATTTTTTACTGCTGCTGCTTCCACTGACACGATCACCAAACGCCATAAGATCTGCACGCATCTTGGCAATCTCATCATAGTCTTGTTGTGTGGTGTGAAGTTCCTCCACGGCTTGTGAAGTTGGCTCCAATGCATACCACGCAGAGGCGAGAAGAGCAGAGGCGGCATCCTTTTCATTTATCCCATTAATATTATTATTAATATTACTATTAATACCTCCAGGAGTAATACTGTTGTTTTTCTGTAAAACTGCCCCTTGCAGAAGATCGGCAATATCATCAAAGCGGGCTTCCAATGCCTCGGCATCTGTTTTCCCGGAGGCGACAACACCCGCAGCCGCAGCCGCATTTGCAGAAGCCCCGCTACTCCAATCAAACGTCACTGCCTCAATATCTCCACCGCCATTTAATAACACTCCATCCAATAATACTTTAGTGGCAGAGGAGGGATCCTGTTCTTTACTGTTGATTGAATTACTTCCACCAGGTGTAGAGGCAGACTTTGTGGTTAATGTGGTCACTCGCAAGACGAGGGTCGCATCCATTGCATCTTTTAATAAATGCTTAACTTTTAAAGCGTAAATACGCACAACACCAACAAGTAACTCCCCACTGGTACGTAATGCGATAGGAACAGCGGGTTGGACAATATCCACCACAGATTGACGAAGATCCACCACACGAACTTCATTGCGGGTTAATCGACGATCCCAATGAGCGGCAAGCCAAATTTTAGCCAATGGCCCTTTCTTTGTTAAGACATATGTTGAGAAGAACATTTTTTTTCAATCTGGTTGTTAAAAAATTCTTCTCTTCTTTCTTTGTTTCTCGTATATATTTTCCTTTCTCTTCCTTTCTTTTCTCAGAATGTTTTAATAGCCTACAGAGGTTGTGTCTCTCCCTTCACGAAAAATGACTCTTATTTACCAAACTACTACTTTTACAAAGAAGAAAACATCACCAGAAAGAATAAATACGAAAAGAAAAAAAAATGTAATAATAGAGAGAAACAGACAGAGAGAGAGAGAGAGAGAGAGAGAAAGAAATAAAAATTAAAAAAAGGTCAGATACAATCAAGGAAACTTCCACTAATGACTACCCCTCACCACACATCAGTAGCATGTGAGGAAGCAGTAAAAAGGCAAAATAAAATAAAAAGTGATAATGATATCTATCATATTTCTATCACTATTACCCTTCTCTTTTTTTTTTTCCTTTTTCTGCTACTGATAGTAGTAGTAGTAGTGGGTATTTTTTTTTTTTTTTGTTTTGTTTGTGAGTTCCGCTTCCTTTTCCACTTTTTTTTAACGTATTTTCTTTTCTTTTCTTTTTTTTTTCTTCTTTTCTCTTCCTTTTCTTTGCGCTATTTTTATACAATATATAGAATGTGTATACATACATGCGTAGAAACAGATACGTAAAAATAAAAGCATACACAGTCAAAGAGAGATTCACACACACACACAGACACAAATAAAAAAAGAGAAATAGAAACGGAAAAAACAAAAAAAATTTTTTTTTCTTTCTTTCTTTACATCGAGTCATCATCAACATCCGGTACATTTTTATTTTTTCATAAGAAAAAATAGAAAAGAAAACAAACAAAAAAAAAAGAGATTGTTTACCACTGGGGTATATGGTAAATCAAATCCAGAAAGAAAAGAACGTCTCTTCCACGGTATTTTTTTTTTTTGGTTTGCCAATAATATCTTCATTCTTCTTTCTTCTTTCCCCATCTATTTTCGAACAACTACACACTCTTTATTCTACTCACAGTTCCACCTTGTTTTCCTTCTTTCTTTTTCTTTCTTTTGCTTTCCTTCGTACTGCCTCTCTAGTGTTTTTTTTTTTCTCTCTCCCTCTCCCTCTCTTTGAGTAGTAATAGTAGTAGTAGTAATAGTAGTAATAATGGTAGTAGTAGTAGTAGTAGTAGTAGTAGTTGTTGTTGTTGTTGTTGTTCTTCCTCTCTTCTCTTTACTTCCAACAAGCACTGAGAGGAACCAACACCATCATTAACACTAACACTATTTACTCACTATTTATTATTCTTCTCCATTGCCCTCTCCATCTTCCTCAGCGGCGGCCTCCTCGGCGAGTTGCATGGCCGCGCGGGCATCATAAAGCGGCTGAAGTTCCGGCCGCGGCTCCGGCTTCGGTGGTAGTGGCGTGGGCGGCCGCTGCAGCTCAACTGTGGAGATTGGGATTTGACTGAGTTCTTTACGCTGCAGCAGGGCAGTGGTGGCAATAACTGTAATGGCATCTGTAGATAATCGCAATACCTCCTGCAGAGGGACGGCCACATAACTACAACCCTCTGTGGATGGAGTTGTGGAATCCTCATTACCAGCTTTAGCAGCAGTTTCATTTCCTTGTTGTTGTTGTTGTTTTTCTCCTTCTCCTTCTCCTTGTTGTTCTCCTTGTTTTGGATCTTGTGAGGAGGAAGTTGTTGTTGTTTTGGGTGGAACTGTAGATGCCACTTCCAGTTTCTCTTTAAGGGTTTCATAGGCCTCTGGGTGCCACTGCTGTACATACATCATCACATCCTCTTCCGAATCCCCAAGTAGTGGATTACTGCATAATGGACGAAGTAATTGTTTCGTTGTATGTAGATTGAGTGTAATACGAAGAGGTGCCTGTACAGCACGTGCAAAGGCGCCTGTTATTTCTCCATCCATAGATACTTGGATCATAGGTAGACGAAGTTGCATATGATGTTCTCCAGGAGAGGCAAGTTGTACAGATCGTTCTAGAATAACCATAGGTGAACGTTCCTTCTCATCTTTTCCAGGTTTTTCCACCATTAATAATAAACGTGTGGTACGTTCCTTTAATATAATGGTTTCATCTCCTGTTACAGATAATCGAAGTCGTTTTCCAGTAGCATCATGTAATACAGGTCGTAATCGAACCTCCGTGACGAGACTTTCATCCTCTGGATCATACTTAATAGAACAGACTTCCATAGATTGTAGAATCACTCCCAATGTGGGATTATCATATATAGATATAAGTGATTTCATCCATCGCTGCACAGGTGGGAAATTCACTGCCTTGACGAGATCTGCCATCGTACCACCATTACACTCTCGAGCAAATGTGACTGGTACTCGTCTTGGTGCATCCACCATTATTTCTTTATCTTTATTACTCTTTTCCTTTTCCTTCTTCTTTTTCGATGATTGTTGTTGCTGTTGCTGTTGTTCTGTTGAGGATTCTGGTCTTTTCTGTTGTTGAGGGGCAAACACTTCCAAACGTGGAGGAACACGAGTGGTGCCATGCAAAACACCAGGATGCCATTCTCCTTTATGATAATATCCCTCTTGTTGAAAAGCCCCATGTTGTGTGGGTCCCAATCGATGGAGAAATACACCAGCTCCAACAGGAACATCTTTTTCAAAGTTTCCAATATATCGAGTAATACCAGATGCCAATCGCCATTCTCCAGAAACAAATGCATTTTCTACAAAACTGCCATGAAAGGAAGAACCATCTGTGAAACGATAGACACCATATCCATGTTTCATATTATGTGCCCAAGCCCCATCATAACTACTTCCATCTGCATACATATATCGTCCATTTCCATGTTTCTCATCTCGTACCCATGCCCCACGATAATGAGAACCATCTGGATATGTAATGCGTCCATTTCCATGCCGCATCCCATTATGCCAACGACCTGTATATAATACACCTTGTTGAGCCCACCAATATAATCCAAGTCCATGCCGCATATTTCCCGCATATTCTCCTGTATAGGCATCACCATTAGGGAAAAGAGCATGACCAACACCGTGTTTGGCCCCATCACGTTTGCGTCTTCCACCTTCATAAACACCAAGTTCACCCACACGCTTCACAACACCCACACCAGCATCACCCAAATCATCTTGATATTCTGAAAGAGCCTCAAACACAAGTTCCTCTGGTAATGGCTCATTCTCCTCATCTTCTTCTTCTTCATCTTCTTCATTCTCTTCCTCCTCATCTTCATGATCATCTCCTGTATTTGGGCCATCCTCATTATCCATATCATTTGGATCACCTCCATGGCGTTGGGCATATGCCTGCATGCGTTGTTGTTGTTTCTCTGCAAGACGGGCCGCACGTTTCTGATCTCGCCGTTGTTGACGAGCCTGCAATTCCGCTGGTGTTGGTAACTCCGGCCGCATCTCCTCCCATTTGGAATAAATCACCATATCTGTAGATTCAACGGCAAAACCAAAGGCCGCACGTTTCGCACGTTTTACCAAATACTCCGCAAGGAGAAAGTGTTGTTGACGTGTGGCCCATTGTAAAAGGGTTTGTTGCGTTACCGGATCTCGTTCCTGCAGTATCCGCTCCAGTTCCTCCTCATCTTCTATATCATTAAGATAACGTAAGAGTTTACTTATCTTTGGGGCATTCTTCTTGCGGATCACTTCATCCTCTTCTTCTTCATCATCATCATCATCGGCACTGTCTTCTGTACCGGCAGCGCTGTGATTGCCACTGGCATCCCCACGCACGTATTCGGGATGTACAAATTGCCAAATAACAGGAAGTTCTGTAGTGAATTCCTCATCTTGATCAATATCCGACATCTTTCTTTCTTATACTTCTCTTTCTTTCTTTCTCTCTCTCTCTTTCTTTCTGACCTTCTTTTTCCCGTTCTTGCTTGATCTCGATGATGTTGTGGTTGTGTGATTGCTCAAACCTTCTCTAGTATGTTGATATCAAAGGTGAATAGGGTGGTAAAGAAGAGGGGTTTAGGGGAAGTCACCCTTTTTTTTTTTCTTTTTACTGTTATTATTTCCCTCCGTTTCCCTTTTCTACTTTTTTTTTCTCTCTTTTTCTTCTCTTTTTCTCTCGCTTCTGTAGAGCGTGGACCTCTACAGCAGAAAGAGCGAAAGAAAAAAGGAAAATACCTCTTATAGAAAAACAACAAGAGAGAAAAAAAAAGATAATAGAGATAAAGAAATATATATATATATGTATGTATGTATA